ACCCACACCCACACCCACACCCACACCCACACCCACACCCACACCCATACCCCACATCCACACCCTAACCTAGGGCTTACCTGTCATCATGTACACACATTTATCCATGAAATCATCATAGAACTCGTATAACTTTCGTATGTTGTTTGCCTCATCAAGAATATTACAGATAGCAAGATCTGGATTAGGTGCGACCACAGTGCAGTTAGGATACAGGAATATGATTCTGCTACTCTTTTTGTTGTAAGCAATGTGGTAACATTTACGAGGCACACTTACCAACCACAATCTACAGGGGAGTCCCAAAAGTCCTGATCACTTAAGAAATTGAGATATTTCCATTATTAATCGGAGTCAAATCAAATATTTTTTTTTATTTGATAGAGGAGAACAGTAAGTTTTTTTTCATACGAGTCAGGTTCATAAATACTCTTGGAAGTGTATTACTTCTGGCTGTGAAAGAAAAATTTAGTATTTTTATGATAGTAGAGACCAATGTATAGCGTTTTTCACGTATTTATTTCTGTTCTGATCGTAATTATCAACTTGAACTAATTACAATCTCTTACAAATGCATTATTAACATTCGTTCTGATATAGTATGATACTTAGGGCATACCAAAAGTAGTGGCCCAGGTACCTTATTTTCTTATAATAGGCTTATTGAAATTTTATTATTATGATATTAGTTGAATACTGATCAAATAGCACAGAAAAATAGAGCATCGTTTTCTCTATCTTCTCATATAGAAAGAAAATTTCAATAAGCCTATTATAAGAAGATAAGGTACCTGGGCCACTACTTTTGGTATGCCCTAAGTATATATATATATATATATATTCATCTTCTATTTAAAATCTTTAAACCGTATGAAAAGTTTCCAGATGATGTTGCATGCATAAATAATAGACATCAAGTTATATTATCAACGATAAAAGCTTTTGCGGTGGCTAAGCGATTTGACTCACTATATTAGATGAACAGTCGTGGGAAGTGATCCAAACACGCTAACCAAAGAAATGTGGAGTGGGGTGTGGGTGTGGAGTGTGGGTGTGGGTGTGTGTGGGGCGGGTGTGGAGTGTGGGTGTGGGGTAGGTGTGGGTGATGAGAATATATCTACACCCACACCCATACCCTCACAGCCCACACTCACGCACCCACACCCCATCCCACACACCCACACCCACACCATCCACACCCACACCCACACCCACACCCCACACCCACACCCCACCCACACCCACACCCCACACCCCATACCCACACCCATCTCGGAACCTTTCCTCGTACGTAGCAGAATATCTTTCTTGGCATACATCAACATTGTCCGGGCACAGAAAAGCCGAAAGTTTTTGCGGACTAGGAAAGAGTCTTATCCGACCTTCTCTTTTTCGATGAATAATATTTTATCAGCAACAGTGGATGTGCTGCACGTTTCGGCGAAAGCAGTCTGAATGGAATCAAGACGGCGATCGATAAAAGAAGAATAATTCTCTTTTTCATCTACTACTAGACTGTCTGTATTAAACAGACATTGTTTCATCACAATCAATATAGTCATGTTGCAAAACTGTAGTGTTATCTTCCTCTACCACGATAAAATAAACCTACTACAACTCCACCCGAAATTTCTCTTTCTCTTGCAGTAAAGATAACGAATAAATACGTAAATAGATAAGTTTCTGGATGCTTCTACGAGCAAAACACCATGCATTCGTAGCCTATTTTATAAAAAAACGTGCACAGATAAAATACACAACATTATATCTTTTTTGCATGCTGCTAGCCAAGGGCAGCAAAGAGTTATATCTTAGCAAGGGAAAGTACGTAGGATCTCAGAAAATTGTCATAGTAATTCACAATTCTAGTTAAATTCTGCTGAAGAAACAAAATTCTAAGTAGAATTCTGTTCCAAATGTAAGAATAGGTATGCAAAATTTTGATAGCTATACAAAATTATGCTTCAATTCTTCTGAAAAAAACCAGACTTCTGATCTTGAAGGCAGAGTATATATATTAATATTAACAAAGTTCTGCTTAAGTGTAAATAGAAAGCTTTTATATATGCCTATATATAGAGTAGAATTCTTAAATTCTACTTGTGAGAATTCTGTCACTGCTGAAAATTATTAATAATCTTCAGATTGAATCAATTCATTTATCATTTGCTTCTCGTACTTTTTTTGTTATTTTAGTTATATACTGACTTACATCAAGTATTATCTCTCGAACACATCTATTATAATATTATTCATAAATCTCACATTGTAGATTTTTTCTATTACTTACAATGTCGAACGCGAGAAATCAAGCATTTCAAAGCTCCGAACAAGACTCCACCCCTCGACCATGGAAAACTCATGCTAATATCGGTAATTTCGATAAAAGTTTTTGCCCGACATATTTTTCAATATTTATATCTTGGCGATAAAGATGTTAGCAATCGATGTTTTTTCTCGTATTAAATAAGAACTATAAGACCATAGCGGAAGTTTTGTGAAGCTCACATATTTTTTCGAAGAAAATAGTGCTTAGCTATTCTCCCTTTCTCCGAAGAGAAAAAATTTCTTTTCGGAATGCAGAAATAAATAAGAGAGACTCTTACGGCGGCGATCGATTGCCTTAGAAAAGCCTATAGTCTACGAGAGGTTTCTCACTTTACGTATTTTGAATGAAACTAAGGTTTTCATGTGGGTTCCATATTTCATCCCCTAAAAGGCTGTGCTAACAAGCTTTTCATGTTCAGCAAGAATTCCTATGTCCTTATTACAAAATGTCTTCTTGTTTATTACACTGTAAACTTATTTTTGATGTTCAACACACTTTTTCAAGGTTGTAAGTTTTGTTATTTTAGTAAATGTGAGTTCAGTTTTATTCCATAACACTAACCACAAAGTATATGAGGAGGAGAAGAACAAAGTAGAGAGAATAAACAGGAAGAAAACTACATGTATATGTATGACACGTAAGAGAAAGGAATAAATTAATATATAGTGCTAGAACATAGAAAGGAAAATACTACTATGACATCCCTAGTCGAACATCTTGTAAGCGAGATCTTTAAAAGATAATTCATTCAGATCTTGATCGTATCAGATTTTTCTGTAATAAAGATCTGTTCCAACATTTCTTATAATGTCAAGATCAAGAAAAAATCCAAATTCTGGATATTATTTTTCAAGATCTTGAGTACAACCATAGTGACATCATTAATTTATTTATGTAATTAAAAATTATTCAGTTATCTATACATTATATGTCGGAAATATGATTTATTGGTTTTTCGATATAAAAGATTCGAAAGTGATTTCCATTAATGAAGACATATGATACCCAATAAAATTAAAGACTTAAACACAATAAAGAGAAAAGCAGTAATCTAAACTGTTTAAACTTTAATTCATTTTTTTCTAAACACTTTACTCTCTGTTATTAAAAGCTCCCGATCTTTTCGAAGAAAAGACTCACGATTAATTACGAGTTCTTCAAATTAAAAGTGTTTTTCAGATTTTAGTTCTTTTTTTTAAAGATAAATTTCTGCTGAAAAATAAAAAATAATATAATTAATGTTTTAGATTTTGATATTAATATTCTTATTATCAGATGACTTTTTTGTTCAATGCACTTTCTCTAAAGTAAGAGTTTAACGATAACGTAAAGATTTTATATTTTAAAATGGAACTTTCATAATTTTAGACGATTTGTAAATAATTAAAATTGCATTATGTAAATTATCTTGATCGATCAGATTTAAATTATAATCAAATAAAATAAGACTGATACTAATTAATTACCTATTTTTGACAGGTTTTTTATAATAACTAAAAGTTGTAATTTTTCCAACTAGTTATGCTTTTTATTTTTATACAATCATTTTTGGTAAATGAAACCTTGTTTTAGTTTCAACATCTGTTCACTTTTCTGTACCTAAGATCTTGGCCAAGATCTTGCTTACAAGATGTTCGACTAGGGATGTCCTATAACTTGTAGAGAATCAAGTAATATGCAATGTTTTTGCGTATGTTGGATAAATTCCTAATAAAGATGAAATGGACTTCAGATTAAAGATTTGAGAGAAAGAATACTTGCCATTCTCTACTAAACGGAAAAATGAAAATGTCCAGAGTATTTTGTTCACATGAAAAATGATATTGAATCGAAAACTTGCATCTTTATTAGTTGTGCATACGAAGGAAAAAAGCGAATGAGAAGTGACACAGTTTTATTACAAAAAATAGAAAACCATGCTACATTCCCACATATTTGTCACCAACCGAAACTGATTAGTTCTGTTAAATTCTGACAAGTTCTTTGTGGTCGAATTTCGTCATAGACTTTTACCGTCAAGTTCCAGCGAAATTTCGTTAGGCTCCTTCCGGAACTCACTGAGAAACTCAATGGACGATGCAAGAATCATTGCCTGAAGAGAAATAAAAGCTACCGATTTCGACAACCGGAATACTTTACATGGATGCATCTTTCTGTTATGTCCGACTCATGAAACTTTTTTTCGTGTCGAAAATTCACTCTATCGACATATTTCCTACCAACATTTCCACTAATTCGAATGTCGAATCATTTAAAAAGTCGATAACAAATCAGATGAAAATCAATTTCATGTGTATTTTAGAATAGATTCAAATCTCAGGATTGAAATCAGGTTTTTCGACTTTATGTAGATAAATCTGGCTTTAATCGGGTATGTCTGTGGGTATGGGCGTTGATTTGGGTGTGATTCTTAAGTTCACCCACATCCTCAAATTCATGCTCACACCTTTATGTTGTGAAAGAAAAACAAATAGAATGAACAAAAAAAAATGAAACTAATCAAAGAAGCAAGAGAATAAGTGTCTGTTTTTTTCTGTTTTATCCGTGTTGTTTTTATTATTCAGTTGAAGCACAATATACGTACAATTACTTCTATTAATGTGTTTATCTTAATAACTTAAGGTTTGTCGTTTTGGAACAATATATCACATGTTACTTTAATTGTTCTGTGTGTCATTGGTATTATTTTTGCTCTTCTCGCTTTGATTTTTGGAAAAAAATTTAAGAAAATTAAACGATCAACAATAACTGACACAATTATAACAACAAAAGAAAAACCAGTAGTCATAGATGTATCACCAGACACAAAATATGAACCAGTGTCAACTATTTAAACATTTTTGTCACTTGTTTTTCTTATTTCTAAATTCTTGCTTTGTCTTCTTTTTCTACGTAGTGTTTTTTATGCAAAAGGATAATGACCCGTGGTTCTGTTTCTTTATATATTTTTCTTTTAATATACATGCACATATTTATGATTTATGCATATAAAATGATTAAATATAAAGCAAGTAAATAAATTACAAATCGAAAAAATATTCCAGCTTGTTTTTATTATTTTAAATTCTTTAAAAATAAATTTGTCTTGTTAAAGTAATAGACTCATCGTACGTTTACATTCTTATTCATTAACAAAAAAGTAACTACATATGTTAAACATACACGATTTTCAACATAATGATTCATTGTGACAAAAAAGTATATGAAGAAATATTAATTATGCACAATTACATATTAGTAATTTGAAATCACAAGATAGATACATTATCAAAAATGATGGTTTTTATGTAATTCACTTGATATAAATAATCTATTGCAGTTATAGATAAGTGAAATATAATTGTAAGATTGTAAGATGAGTAAGAGGAAAAGGTTTTTCTTTCTGAAGAAAGTGGAACAATAACTAAATATTGACCAGTTACTTCACTTTTTTAGTATATATTAATCAAAACCTATGTTAAATAAACGTATTTTATCTTTTAGAAATGAATCTTCTTATGATAGAACTTGTTTATGTTTTAAATATTTCGAAGAATTTTGTGTGAATTTTTTAACATATAAGCAAAAGTTGAGAGAAAGATGCAAATACAAGCCTATTTTTATCTTTACTCATAAAACTTTCTATGGACGATAAAAAAAAACCACATATTCTCTATGACTGTTCATTTTCGAGAACTAGAATATTCTCTTTGATATTTTTATTGTTGATAAATAAAAAAATAAAGGGATATTATCCGAAAGACAAAATCTAGCAGAGATTTAAATATATCTAAGGATCATTTTCACTATTCTTATGTGTCCTTTTCAAGTTTCATAAAATATCTCAAAGACTGAGTGACAAATTCTATTTTTCAAAATTGT